GTTGTTGTTTTGTTTTTGTTTTTTTTTTTTTGACAGTGTTTCTCTGTAGTTTTGGAGCCTGTCCTAGCACTCACTTTGCAGATCAGGCTGTACTCGAACTCACAGAGATCTGCCTGCTTCTGCCTCTGCCTCCCAAGTGCTGGGATAAAAGGCATGTGCCACCACTGCCTGACTTCAGGACTGTTAATCTTAAAACTAGGGCTGTCTCTGTCAAGCAGCAATTGTCAGGCAGTCTTTACTTCCTACAAGAGTAATCATTATTGGGTTTTTAAATATTATTCAGACTGCCCATGGTGGTCAAAGCCTGTAAATCTAGGTACTCAAAGGATGTAAGGTGTGACTAAGGCAGAAGGATTACAAGTTTTGGGCCAGCCTGAGCTACATAACAAATTCCAGGCAACTTGTCAGCCTCAAAATAAAATAAAAACAGGAATGGACAAGTAGGTAAAGTAGAAGAATGCTTATCCAGCGTCCAGGAGGTCCTGGGTTCTGTTTCCATTATTACAAACAATATTGTAAACAAACAACAAATATTCTCTCAGGCTGTCTTCAACAAAAATAAAGTATCATAGGTTTTATTTTCATCTTTCTTCAAAAACATGCACATACTATACATTTTCCACTACTTTCCATTTTATTTTTCCTCAGGATGTATCCTATGGCCTTCCCATGGTGAGGGTCTTCATGCCTCGGGACAGTTGCCACATGCTGTGTTGTATAGATGCTCAGGAACCGAAGGTCTTGTTGGTGTACGAGCTATCTCTGCTGGCCTGCTCTTAACCCTGCTGTGGATCACTTCAGATGTTTCCTTTATACGCACAAGTTAGAATACAGTTCCATAATCCGGACTCTGAATCAAAAAGTAAATAGTACATCACTCTATCATGCTAGTGAGTTTGTCAAATTCCTTTCTAAAAGGTCATGCTGTGGGGGAGGCCAGAGAGTTGCTTCGGCAGTTAAGAGCACTTGTGGTTCTAGAGGATCCAGATTTCATTCCCAGCATGCTCATGGCTCACAACCATGCTCAACTCTAGTTTCAGGAGCTCCTGTGACCTCTTTTAACACCAATAGGCACAAGGCACACACATAGTACACAGACATACATGCAGGCAAAACATTGCAACACAAAAAAATAAGCCTTTTTTGTGGTCTCTTTTCCTTTAAAGAAAATATTATACCATTTTGAACTCCTAGCAGACATATACGAGAGTACCTGTTTATCTTTTGGTGTGCAGACAGTACATCTAATACCTCTTGTTGTCACTGGTGTTGTTTTTAAAAAAGGTATCGTGAAGTTAAGGCTCCAATTCGATAAGTAGCTAAAAATGACCTTAATCTCTGATCCTCCTGCCTCTACCTCCCAATATTCTGGGATTACAGGTGTGCACCACCAAGCCTGGCTTGTAAGAACTCTTGAAGTTTCTATTTCTGACGTCTAATACTGCACTTTTAACTTCGCTGTTGAAGTTCAGAACACACAGCTGCATCATAAATACATTGCCAGGTGCAGTTGGTGCAACTGAACACTACTAGATCCAAAAACAAACAAACAAACAAACAAAAACAGGACATTGTCAGTACCCCGGAAGTCTTCCCCTGTCACACCTTTCCCCTTACAAGGTTGGTACCATTTCAGTTTGCAGTAGAGCATATGGGTTTGCATAGTATTCAGGCTAGTCTTATGTCAACTTGACACAGCTAGAGTTATCTGAAAGGAGGGAACCTCAGCTGAGAAAATGCCTCCATGAGATCCAGTTATAAGGCATTTTCTTAACTGGTGATCAATGGGGGAGGGCCAACCCATTGCAGGCAGTGCCATACCTATGCTGGTGGTCCTAGGTTCTATAAGAAAGCAGGCTGAGCAAACCATGGGGAGCAAGCCAGTAGGCAGCACCCCTCCATGGCCTCTGCATCAGTTCCTGCCTCAAGTTTCCTGTCCTATTTCCTTCAATGATGAACAGTGATATGGAAGTGTAAGCCAAATAAACCCTTCCCTCCTCAACTTGCTTTTCAGTCGCTATATTTCATTGAAGCAATAGAAACCCTAACAAAGACACATGGTTTTTCTTTGGGGGTGAGGGTTGTTTGTTTATTTGTTTTTGTTTGGGGGAGGTTGGTTTTATTGTTGTTGTTGTGTTTTGTTTGTTTGTTTCTCTGGGTAGCCCTGTCTGTCCTAGAACTTGGTCTGTAGACCAGGCTGGCCTCAAACTCACAGAGGTCTACTGGCCTCTGCCTCCTGAGTACTGACTGGTGTGTGCCACTACAACCTGGCTTTTTTTTTTTTTTTAATTTGTTTATTTTTTGTGTTTGAGTGCTTGGCCCGAATGTATGACTATACCACATGCATGTTTGGTGCCTAAGGAAGTGATGAGCCTCCATGTGAGTGCTAGGATTTGAACCCAGGTCCCTTTCAAGAACAGCAAGTGCTTTTAACCACTGGATCAACTCTCTAGCCCAAGACACATGGCCTTTATTTTGTATAAATGGAACCACAGCACTAGAAAAAAGAAAACATAAACACATGGGTAGGTATATGTGCCGGTGGAAAGTTTCCACACCAGGCTCGCTTAGAGCATCTGCCATACCCTGTTGCGGGGGAGGGGCGGGGAGGTGTCTATGTCCAGTAGCTTGAAGACCACCTGTGTAAGTAGGATTATCCTCTGAAACTAACTTTGAAAAATCTCTTCCTAGAAACATCTACAAAGAAATTAAACGCTATGTTGGGCTATAAAACAAAAAAGAAATCATAAATATTTGTGTATTTTCAGGGCTGAGGCTGTAGCTCAATGAAACAGTGTTTGTCTAGAAGACACAAATCCCTAATGATCAATCTTCAGGATCAGCCAAAATAATAAATAAATAAATATTTACATTTTGCAATATAAACACACCATTAATTCTAAATGCTATTGCCATATAAAATCAAGAGACCACTCTCTTAGAGATTTTAAAATTTTTAGTGAAATGCATGATCATATCCAAATAATTGTAGGATAAAACCTTTGTAAAAGATTCCATAGGAGCCATATCTTAGGACTCAGATTTTGTTCAGGTGACTTTATTGTCTATTAGTCATGGAACACCTGCTCAGCATGAGAGAAGCCTCTAGTTCAAGTCCCATTACAGCCACAGAAATAAATAAATAAATGAACATTAATTTTTTAAGGTAAGTGTGTTTGCATTACCTTTAAAGGGGGAAACTAGTTTGTCAATACAATGTAAACATTAAAGGTTTAGCTCTCAAAGACTCAGGTAGGAGGATACTAGGACTATACATTGTGAAAGCCTGTAGTGCCGAAAGTCAGACTAAGACTACTGATTGGAAGCACAGAGCACATGAAGCAGGAAATGGAGAGCTGTTCCTGAACGGATTGTAAAGCCAGGACACATTGCTCTGTGTAGATAAAACTGGAAGCTGCTTCCTACAATACAACAGTTCTAACGTGGGTAGCCACTCCTGGGGAAGTTTCAGACCTGGTACAGACTTGCATTAAGGTAACCCAAAACATTTGATAAGAAGCTCGAAAACTTATAAAAATTAACAATTAGTTAATTCATTTGATCATGACAAGTAGAGAAGTAACAGAACAGAATTTGATACATGAAATGTTCATTTCGTTAATTACAAAACACTTCAAATGAACTATATGTAATTCATAACAGTGCTTACTCTGGGGGCTGAAGAAATGGCTCTTCCAGAGAACCCAGGTTTGATTCCAAATAGCCAGGTAGTGGCCATGTGGTAGCTTACAGTCACCTGTAACTTGATCATCAGGCATGCAACTGTTACACAGACATTTGTATCCAGGCACTCACATGATTAAAATAAATTGTTTAACTAATGAAAGAAAACAGTGCTTACTCTGCGAGCATGAGGACCTATGTTCAACTACTTAGCACCCATGATTAAAAAAAAAAAAATTGCCAGCCAGGTGGTGGTGGCACATATCTTTAATCCCAGCACTCAGGAGACAGAAGCAGGCCAATCTCTGTGAGTTCAAGACCAGCCTGGTCTACAGAGTTCCAGGACAGCCATGGCTTCATGGAGAAATCTGTTTGGTGGAGAAGAGGGTGACAGAGAAATATATCTGGACCATCTACCATAAGGTAAATGCTATCTTAGATGCTAGAGATCTGGGAAGGAGCAAAATAAAGTCTCTGCCTTTATAGCCCTTAGAACTAAATGTACACCCCAGCATCAGACAGGAAGAAGGTGTAGATACATAAGTATCAAGCTGGCTATGGTGGCTCACACCTGTAGTCCCAGCTCTTAGGAGCCAAGGCAAGAGAATCAACAGTTCAAGGCCAGCCTGGGCTATCTAAGATCTTATCTCAAGAAAAGAAAAAAAAACAGAAAAGTATTTTTTGTTTGTTTGGTTTTTGAAAAGTTAAAAATTCCTTAATTTTTTATTCCTGGTACCACTACCACAATTTACCAGGCAATATACCTGATGTAATGAAAAGAAAAAGAAAAAGAAAACGCTACAACAGATAAAAGAACTCAGGAATGTACATCTAATTGACACTACATTGCATTAATCAATAGCTGTACTTTTTGCAAACTGTGGCTATGACAGTCCTGAGCAAGAAGGGTTTCCTGTTTAAGCTGTTTAGCTTTTCTGACTAGGGATCATCGTTCCTCCTGTGGCAGATTTTACAGTTCCTCTAATGCATTTAGGATGACTATCTCAAAGTAACCTGCATCTTTCCTGACAACGCCTTGCTCTCTCTCCTGCTATGAACTGTAGCCCTTTTCTGCTGTATTTTTAAAACCTTCTGCTACCATATCCACCACTTCCACCACCAGATCCATAGCCAAAACCATAGGGACTGCCTGAGCATCTTCCACCAAAACTGCCCCCTTTCATGGGTCCATAATTTGATTGCTGTTGTCCACTATAATTTCCAAAGTCATTATAGTTACCACCACCACCATAGTTACCTCCACCAAAATTTCCTCCTTCATTGTAACCATCATCTCCTCCTCCACCACCACCAACCATATCCACCACCTTGGTTTCCACATCCTGGTCCACCACCACCATAGCCTCCTCTACCACTGTAACCAGGATACCGCCATAGTTGCCACCATCACCTCCAAATCCATTATCTCCACCATCACCACCTCCATGGCTACCTCTGCTGCCACCACCTCCACCACCATAGCCCCCTCCTCCACCAAAGTTTCCACCACAACCAAAATTACCTCCACCACCTCCAAAGTTTCCTCCACGACCCATAAAGTTGCCAGACCCACCTCCACGACCTCTCTGTGATCCAGCAGACTGCATCTCTTGTTTAGAAAGGGCCTTTTCCACTTCACTTTAATTATGTCCATTAATAGTGTGGTATTTCTGAACAACAATTTTATCAACGGTGTCATGATCATCAAAAGTTACAAAAGCAAATCCTCTCTTTTCTTCACTCTGCCTGTCTTCCATAACTTCTATGGTTTCAATCTTGCCATACTTTTCAACGTACTCTGTCAGATTATATTCTTCTGTATCTTCTTTAATACCACCAACAAAAATTTTCTTCACTGTTAAATGGGCGCCAGGCTTTACAGAATCCTCTCTGGAAACAGCTCTCTTTGGTTCCGCCACACGGCCATCCACCTTGTGTGCCAGCACACATTGCAGCATCCACCTCTTCAACACAAGTGTAGGTCACAAAACCAAAGCCCCTGGAACGTTTTGTTTGGGGGTCTCTCATTACCACACAGTCTGTAAGTGTGCCCCATTTCTCAAAATGTTCTCTTAAGCTATCATCTGTGATTTCAAAGCTCAGACCACCCATAAACAGCTTCCTCAACTGTTCTGGTTCCTTTGGATCATGCCCTTCCCGTGGAATTAAAACAGTGTCTCTCCATCTGAAACGGGAACGAAGGAAGCAGCAGAGAAAGGGGAAGAAGAACTGAGTTGATGAAGATTACCAAAGACCTTGAACTTTTCAGCAAGGCAGAGGCAAGACGATCTTCTGAGGAAGGGGAGATCAAGCAGTGAGTTTCAGAAACAGGGAAACGGGTTTTAATAACCAATGGAGGAAACTCATTAGTGAGTCTCCAAGTGATTAATAAAAGGATTAGAGAGCAGGCTGGGAATCAGGTGTCTCTCTCTCTAGAACGACTTGGGAGGTTAGAGGAAGGAATAAAGTGAGGGATGCAAAAAAAGAGAGGAAAAGAGAGGGAGGGAAAGAGGGAGGGAAGAGAGGAGGAGGGGAAGAGTGGGGAAATTGATAATGGTAAACTTGATAGACACTAGAAAATGAAATGCACAGTATACTAGAGTTATAATCAAAGCCTTCATTAAAATCACAAACACACACACAAAACAGGGCTTCTCTGTGTAGCTTTGGCTGTCCTGGAACTCACTCTGTAGACCAGGCTGTCTTCAAATTCACAGAGATCCACCTGCCTCTGCTTCCCTGGTGCTGGGATTAAAGGCCTGCGCCACCACCTCTTGGCCTCCAAAGAGTATTTTTGGTGCTTTTGTCAAAATCGGGAGACTATAGCCACATGGTTCACCTCTGGCCTTCTGTTCTCCAAATGTCTGTGTTTATTACTATGGTGCTGGAGTATAATTGGAATCAGGTAGTGATGCCTCTAGCATTAGTCATTTTGCTTGTTACACTTGTTTTTGACTACCCAAGGTTTCTTTGTGCTTCCAAATAAGTTTTCAGGCTGCTTTCTCTGTAAAGAATGATGTTGGTATTTTGACAGGATTGCATCAAGTCTATAGGTTACTTTTGATGAGACAGACATTTTCACAATACTATTCTTCCAATCTGGGAAGAACCTGGGAAGTCTTCCCATGGTCTCACAGTTTTCATTATAGAAGCTGTGTATTTCCTCAGTGAAGTTCATTCCAAAGTATGTGATTGTTTGTTTAGTTAAGATTTATTTATCTGGGCGGTGGTGGCGCACGCCTTTGATCCCAGCACTCAGGAGGCAGAGGCAGGCGGATCTCTGTGAGTTTGAGGCTACCCTGGTCTACAAAGCAAGTTCCAGAACAGGCTCCAAAGCTACACAGAGAAACCCTGTCTCAAAACAAACACACACACACACACACAATTTTATTTTTGTGTATGTGTGTTGGGGGTGGTATATGCACATGAGTACAGGTGCCAAAGGCTCAAAGAGAGCATTGAGCCCCTGGATGAGGAATCACAGGCATGTGAATCTCCCAATATGGGTGCTGGGAACTGAACTTTGGTCCTCCGCAGGAGCAAAACGAGCTCTTAACTACTGAGCCATCCCTGCAGTCCCTGTGGTGTGTTTTTAAGAGACTTTTGAGTGGAAAGGTCCCTACTTCTCTCCCTCAGCATGCTTGTTATCAGCAGAGAGGAAGGCTGCAGAGTTTGGCATGTTAATTTTCTCTTTGGTTATATTTTCACTGACAAAACTGGGGGATTTTTGTGTTGGTTTTCCTTAAAATCATGGAATACTTTGAAGTTACTTATAGTATAAACTACATGGAAACCACTTCTGGTTCTTCTGGTGCCTAATTTACATAGAATATTTGGGGGATTCAGCTCCCCAAGTTTTAAAGCATAAACATTCTATTATGAATTGTGAACACAAATATTTTTAATTATTTATTTTTATTTTATGTACATTGGTGTTTTGCCATGGTGTCCAGTCCTCTGAAACTGGAATTATAGACAGGAGCTGCCATTTGGGTGCTGGGAATTGACCCTAGGTCCTCCAGAAGAGCAGTCAGCGCTCTTAACCACTGAGCCATCTCTCCAGCCCAAATACAAATACTTTTGGTAATACTGTCTTAGTATTAACACATGATGGGTGTGGTGGCCCAAGGTCAGCCTGGTCACATAGTAAGTTCCAGGACAGCCAGAGCTACATAGTAAGACTTTGTCATTAAAACAAACATACAAACAAACACCACCCCCCCAAACAAAATAAAAACGAAAAAGGAGCACATACCCTCCTAGAAGAACTGAGTTGGTTCCCAGCATCCACATCAGGCAGCTAGCCCACATCCATGGTCACTCAAACCCTGAGAAATCCTACTCTCTCTTCTGGCTTCCACAGCAACCTACACACACATGCACACCAAAATAAATTTAACAAATAAACATGGTAACTCGAAGTGTATAACTACATTATGAAAACTCCACAGTAACCACAGACACTGTTTAGAACTTCTACAATATTTTCATGGGGAGGAGGGCTTCCTTCCTGGCATTGCTCAAAATGTTCAGGTCTAAGGATGGCTCAGGGACACTGTCATGGATTTTCTTCTCCTGAAAGACAGTGCTCCCAGGATTGAGGAGCAGAAGGGACCTGTGCACTGACCACCTTGGGTCCAGCACCACTTTGCTTATAAAACTGTCTCTTGGGGCTGGAGAGATGGCTCAGAGGTTAAGAGCACTGACTGCTCTTCCAGAGGTCCTGAGTTCAATTCCCAGCAACCACATGGTGGCTCACTACATCTGTAATGAGATTTGGTGTAAACATGTCAGAACACTGTATACATAATAAATAAAATCTTAAAAAAAAAAAACTATCTGTTTTCTCCTGCACCCTGGGAGCATAGCTTTCATGAGTCATTCTGCCCGACCCCAGCACATTTCTTTTCTTTCTTTTGTTTCAATGCTACCTCTTCTCAGTATATCAAAATGTTAATTTTTATTTAGTATTGATTATTATTTATTATCATCTGGAAAATGCCTATGACTTGATGAGAACTAGACCTGCAGATAAATACTGATCTGTATTTCACATGTATTTGTGCACAAGTTTAAAGGGGACAATGCTTTTTGAAAATAAGAATGAAAAAAAAATTAAACAGAAAAAATGTAGCCATGGTCCCAGCATATGTGTGTTTGTGTGTGTGTGCACGCCCATACACATACACTCGAGTGACTTCGTAAGAGAGCACTTTTATTTGACAATGATAATAGTCAATTTATAGCACTCTATTTCCTTCATGGAGAGACGAAGTAAGACTCCTTCATGACAGAATCTTTTTGCCCTCATTCCTTCTTTCTAGCAAATAAAGCATCCTGGCTATTCCCACACATTTATCATAAAGCTATACCCCAACCAGTACCAGGCAACATTATACTATAGGAGTCTGTTTGCATTTGATGCTATTGTGTTTTTTTCCTTAATAAAATTAATTCTGCCACAGCCTCTGAATGTTTTTTTTTCCCCCTTTAAAATCAATTAGCTTTTGCTAGGAAAATCTTTTCCTGTTTAATATAGAATAATGATTTTTTTCATCTGTCAAGGGGGCTATTAATAACTGGCACCAGTGGGGTTAGAACACTCTCTGGTGTTTGCTTTAGGGGAATGGGGGGATTGTTGGAAATCCTAGCCAAACTGAACCATAATTAGAGAGAAAATGTTAGCAATTAGAACTATACATTAGGCTTTAATTTACGACCATGGAAAAGTCAAGGGTGGAATTTCCGTTCCATTTTTAGGTGCAGCCAGATGGATTGCTCATTATAGGATAATTTCCGCCAACCCTCCGTATTTCTCAGAGTAGCAGCATGGCTGAGAGCAGCTCACAGCCCAGAGGCTGTGGCTTCCTTTTATCTCTTGTGGGAGTGGAGCATGGGGTAAGAGGCTGAGCAGTCTTCAGTTCCCTGCCTCAGCAATGACACTGGAAATTTTAGGTCAAGACAGTGGCATGGAAACACAAGTGTCTTAATGGAATTTGTTCTTCTATTTCCATTGACAAGGGTTGTACTGGTGTAGTTCAACACCTCTCACTTTAAAAAGGTTTTCTTGTTGGTATTTCTACTCTTGTTTTTTCCTAGAAACCACAATGAGCACTTTAATCTGTTGTTTTTCAAAGATATTCTCAAATCTAAATAATATAGCCGCAATCTAATTCCAATCTAATGCCGGGAAAAAGACTCCTGTTTGTCTTTTAACTGATAGATTTTTAAAATATGGGTTATACTTTATTATTTCTCCTATTTATTTCACAATCAAATGTGATGTCTTTCTTAAGTGTCCCAACCATTTTTCCTTTTATAAAATGAACTTGGGGCCAAAATGTTAATCACTATTTAAAATAAATGTATTTATTTCTGGATGAACAAGGTTTTCATATTTAAAACTTCTGGTTACTTTAAATTATAGTGAGTCAAAAACCTGTCATTGTTTCCTTCACATATGACATAAATTGCTGCTACCATTAGTTCTTACTTTATTTTATACTTTTTTTGTGGTGTTGGTGATTGACTGAACCTGTGATGTGTGGTGTGCTGGCAGGCATATCGCCACTTAGTTATTATATCCCCGGCTGGCTCTTTATCTTTTCCACTTTTTCTTTGGCGACAGACTGTCTCTAAATTCTCCAGATTGGCCTTAGAACTCAGCCTCTAGCCCAGGGAGACCTTGGACTTTCAACTTCTCCACCTCTGCTCAAGGAAGCCTGAGCCTGCCAGACTGTGCCACCAGGCCTGGCACTTTTTACTTTTCATCGTAGAAAATACATATAATATGAAGCTGACTAGGTCTCTATTTTTTCCCATAGAGTCTCCATGGTCCACTCAGCTTACATAAATGCCCTGTGTATGAGCAATCATACAACTTGCTTTGACAGCACACATACTAAAGTTGGAATTTACCTAGATAAGATTACCGTGGCCCCTGAATAAGAACAACATGAAAATTGGCAAGTATTCAGTAATATTATTAATTTTATTTATTTATTTTACTGTTTTGGGCTTTGTGTGAGAGAGAGAGAACTTCCAGGAGTAGGATCTTGTCATCTACCTTGAGTCCCTGGGATTAAACCAGGTTGTCAGGCTTGGTGACAGGCACTTTTACCCTCTCTCTTCACCTTCTTTTATTTTTTTTTCTTTCCCCTCCCTCCTCTTTCTCATTTTCTTTTG